GAGCTATGTTACACGATGTATTATTATGTCCTTTATTCGAACACTGTATTTCCCTTTCTTTGATGATTTATATATATAATTTAACAGTGTTAACGGCTATCTTGATTTATATTATATGCAACTGTCTGTTTCTAGCCGTACCTATTGTGTAATTGGAACTAGGAATGGAAAAAAGAAATCAATGAAATGAGCAACAAGTGAGCTTTTAAATGAGATTTAAAAACAGATGGAAATGTAAACGAACATCAAAATGCGAAATCGATACTCTGCTTCAAAGCTAACCAAGGAAATGAGGAAGTACTGGGATTAAATGTTTAAATTTAGGTGAGATCCAGTAACAAGCCGAGCGGTGATGTTGAGTAATTGCTGAAACTTATTAATTTATGTAAGAGGCAGTCCATAGAGAACCCCATTACAATAATCCAATCTGGATTTTACACAATGTTTTCTCCACACCACTTAAGTTAATTAAAATATTATTCTCTTCTCTTACTGGAAAAAAGAGTTTTCCCTTTAGAATGTTGCGAAACTCCGAAAAATCCCAATTATCGTACCTAACATAAAAAGAATTTAGATCGTTAGCCGTAATATCAATATCTTCAACATTCGATGCAATTTTTAAATTTCCAGTAAGTTTATTCATTCCTTTCCAAACATTTTGAATATCACCAAACTCAAATTTTCCTTCTTTGTGTTTGGCGTATTTACGCTTATCTCTCCTAATTACACGTTTCAATTCCCGCTGAAGGTGTTTTACTAGCTTCAAATTCGCCCTGCATAAATTTTAACATTTTTGTTGGTACAACGGAATCTTCACAAAACTTAATAATTAAATGCTGAACATCGTTCTACCGTATCATCAAGTGAACCATTTTTATCAAACAGTGTTTTAACTGCCACTTATATGATTGACCTGATGCTCTATAAACCAAGTCTGTAAATGGATTTTGGAGCTGAGCTTGCATTAAAGGAATATAAAATTAAGAGGCTATGCAGAAGAACACTGGCTGGTGTGTAAGGGTGGTCAGTTCATGGCCCATTTAGACTGGGGGAAGGCGGGCTCCACCTCGGATAGCACACAAGAGTTACGCCACGTCTGATTTGAAATATTAAGGTAACAGACAATGTAAAAATATTTCATATTACAGTACTACGATGCTTCGGCTAGACAGCTCCTTTTGTCTTAAAGTAAAACGAGCATCAAAATTACAGTGCATTCATGAATACAGTATCATCGTATTGTGTTATTATGTTGCAGAAAGCGAGTACAAGACAAAAATAAAAGATAACTCTCGGATTGAATGGCAATTATTATATTTTTATTCAATGACAAAGGAAAACAGAACGTTTCCATTTTATACCCAAAAAAAAAATTAAAAAAATACAAAAATAAGCCACTCCCTCGAATAAACACCTCCCTCGAAAATGTCTCTCAAAAACCCTTCTCATAAACGCTCAAATACGGTACATTAATAATATCTAAATTTTACTACAGCAATAATTAATTATCGTCAGAAACCAATAGGCATTTTCAATGACAAAAGAAAACAGTGCAAAAAAAAAAAAATCTATCGTGTTAAAAATCATTCAAAATATATTAATAATACTACAGCATAGTAAATAATTATCGTCAGAAAAGGTGTTCATAGCAATGCATTAACGCTTGATATAATTATCATTAAGAAACTCTAATAAAGAATAAAAAATATTATTCTAACTATTAAACAAGGAAAATCTTTAATAATATTTTAATATACAGATATGTTGGTTGGTTCATTGATCGATTAGTTGGATTTAGATTGATTGATTAACTGATAAGTATGTTTTTGATTGATTGATTAAATTTGTTATCATAACTTTATTGTACGTACATAAGCAAATACAAAATGTGGCCAGGAAATAGATATTAATCAAGCTTGGCCAGCCTCTCTTAGTTACAATCATCATAATTATAACACATTTAAATACTAATAATTATAACACATTTAAATATGAATAATTATATTTAAAAAATAACAAAAACTGAAATTAAATGGCATCATTCAAATATACTGTGATGAAAGTAATTCCTCAAGTTGAACAGAGCTATTTATTTAAGCTTAATTTAAGTGGAATTTTATTCCAAATGATAACGCCCGAGGAAGCAATTCTAAATTTACCAGGATTTTTATGACCTGGAGGGATGGCTAAATTAAAATCATTGTTAAATCTTTTATAATATTCATGTAATCAGTAATATCAAAATAATCGTTTAAATGAGGAAATCAGCTATAAAATAGATAGGAAATAACTTAGAAACACATAAGTTATGAAGTAATTTTTGAATAAAGTAAAATAAGGGGAAAGAATGAGCTTTGAAATTCGAAAAAGTTATACATCTAGCACACATTTCTTTGCGTAACTAAAAGAGACTTCAAGTTCTGCCCCATATCTCAATGCCATAAGTCAATAAGGTTGGATGGAAGCATTGTAAAGCATAGATAAATAATCGTAGGAATGCCTACTCGTTTCTTAGGTTTATTATTCAAATCATTAATTTGTTGTTAAAAGAAAATTGTCCAAAATAATATTGATAAAGGGAATTGAATCAGTTTCAGAAATTAGATTATTCTTGATCTTGATTGAGCCGTTTATAATTATATTCTTATTTCTTGAACGAAAATTAAAAACTTATTTTTTATATTAACTGTTAATTTGTAGGCATTTCACCAGTCTATTACCTTCTGGAAATGGACATTGACTTCGTCAAGATCTAACGTATTACCAACTAAAGGTTTCAAAAAGTTTGAATCATCGGCAAAAAGCCTAAAAAAAAACAAAAAACAAAAAAACAAACAAACAAACAAACAAACAAACAAACAAACAAAAACAAAAAAACAGTAGAATTTGGTAGATCATTAATATGGATAAAAATAAATAACGCCCAGTACCGATCCCTGAGGAACACCACATTTGTTAGCTAACATATTGGATTTAAAATTATATTAGAAGACACAAACTGAAATAATCTATTACCGGTACTATCTTAGTGACATATTATGTTACTAAGATAGTCAGAGACCCAATGCAAAGGGCGATCCACTCCATAATGACCTAATGTAGATATTAAAATATTGTGATTTTGTATTAAAAGCCTTAGAAAAATCAATAAAAATACCAAGGACACATTTTGAATTACCTAAATCCAACTTGCTGGATTATCGATTGACAAATTAGTTGACTGATGTTGGTTGGCTGGTTGATTGATTGATCGATTTGTTTGGTTATAGATAGATTGATTGATTGGTAGATTGGTTTTTTATTGATTGATGGTGTCCCCAAAATAAAGAGTAATGATCAACAAACATTTATCGATTTGCTGGAGAGAATTATTTACCCATTTATTGGCAGGTTTATTTATTGATGTATTTATTTAAATATTGATTGGAGATTTGATTGGTTGGTTGATTGATTGATCGATTATTAAAAAATGATTGATTAGTAGTTTTGATGATTGTTTGGTTAATACACACCACAGGATAAATAATAATAAAACAAATATTGGCTTTTTTGATAACTGATTATAAAACATCCAATAATAATAATAATAATAATAATAATAATAATTTATTTATTTCAACAATATTTTTAGGGTGTTTCATTCAGCTAGAGCTAATCAATTTGGACCCTCTGTATATACATTTAAGACTAAAGAATAAAAGATAAAACAGAGAAATGAAAATCAGAAAATGTTTATAAAATAATGAATAATAATAATAATAATAGTAATAATAATAATATAATACTAATAATACTACTACTACTACTACTAATAATAATGATAATAATAATAATAATAATAATAATAATAATAATAATAATAATAATAATAATAATAATAATAGCAATGATAAAAAAAAGTCATCGCTGCCAGTTTGTAATTATAACTGGCAAATAGTAGAAAAATATGAATATGAATTATCAATATACTGTAAACAGTCAAATCATCAAGAAAAAAAATTAATGTTGTTCAGCTCAATTGAACCCTTTATATCCCATAATAATTATCCATTAATGCAAAGATCGTTCTTACGTTTTTGAAAGGTCGTTTCAAGTAACAATATTATTAGGACATCTGTTGTCATTCATATTCATTAATCGATTATAGTACAATATTCTTAATTACTTTATTTTGACTTGATAAACTGCCATGCCTTTTAAGCTATGTTTCTTATAAGTATTTTATAGACTCTTGCCGTTACAGAATGAAAATGGCAAGTGCATATTAACGTTAGTTGTTGGTACGTCTATTGCTTTACAGAGAAATTTATGAATAAATGAAATTAATTACTAATAAAAATAATACTATTTATCATTCTATAAAAAATGACAAAAAGTTCACAAAACACCACCAATTTATTAAAATGTGTAAGACATGGTATGATACAATACGAATGTCGTTGATATTGGCAACAGGATACACTGCAACAGTCTCATTCTATAATGGTTTTGAAATAACGAACAAACCATATGCCTAATCGTATCATGTAAATGCCATGTAATACATGTAAGTATTATCTCCATAATCATATCAGTAAATCGAGGTCGATGCTGATGCCTCTCTTGTTGAAACTCCTGAATAATCATTAGCGAAGGATAAAAGACACCATTATTTGTAGCTTCAATCCGTTTCTGTACTGGGTATGATACCTATAGAAAAAAAAAATATGACGAAATGTAAAGATACGCAAAATAGTTTTTTTTCTTGTTTTGGAAATTACCCTCCTTTATTTGTCTCTTTTTGATGGTTTTCCGTTTTCATTAACTCATACATACCGGTACATGATTATAGAGTACTGGTGGTTACATTCAAAACGTTAACGATACAAGGCGACGGTGTGTTTATAATTCATTACTGTACAAAAAATAAATAAAAGAAACGGCGCAAAAATTTACTTCGAAAGGAAATCTACATAAATAAACTTGTGACATGGAAGATGATGAGAAATTGCAATTGAATCTGCAAAAAGGACGATAAATTTATCCGAATGTTGGGGACAAAATTAATGTGACACTGGCACAATGCCCAGATATGACCAGTACGGTTCATCAATGAAATTTTAGGATTTTTTGTCTGAAAATATATTAAATATTTGAGAAAAACGTATTGTCACATTCGGGATTTGAACCCAAGATTTCCCGATTACTGTTCAGATACTCTACTATGAGGCTACGTAGTAAACACCCTTGAAAAATTCTCGATAGGACATGTTTTTCTCACAGTATTTCGCAATGAATAATAGTAAATCACATGATAGTAACTTCAGTATGGAGAAACATCTTCACTGAAAAATATATACTTATTATAGGATTTATTATTAAACTTTTAACAAACATTATTGTTAATTAGGTCTATTTAAACAGTCATTACTTTTTTAAACGTGATTATTCTCGTCGTGTATTTTTTTCAGTTCATCTATTCGTTATCCAGATGGATTGCATCCGTCATGTTGTCCAAAAAAAGTTTGCCATCGTACAAGTTGAGAGTAGCCCTAGTATTCTTGGAAGACTGCGTCGGAAACCATAGATCCAATTATGTGTGTTGCAAGACTTGCAATTTCCTTTTCAAAACAATTCTGGTCCATTGATATATGTTGCATCTGCTGCAATAACCTGGTCGATTACAATCTGAAAAATCTCCGAAAACTACTTTGCCCGTTAACAATATCAATTAATCTCAGTAATGCTGTAAAAGAAGGGGTTAGTCTATACCATGGAGGAAATATATTATAATATATTTCCTCCATGGTGTATATGTACCTTAAATAAAACTAACCTAAACCATTCTTCATCATATTCACCGTTAGGGTTCGCGATTGACTGATACACTTTGACAAACTATCATGGAGCTACAATAATAATAATTATAGGTCCATGTTAATTTGACACTAAGTACATTACCATTAGTTGTTCCCACATCCGAGGTCGTATCATTTTTATCTGCAATTTAAAAGTAAAAAAATATAAGCTCCATTCACACAAGCAA